GATAGATATAACAGTACTGCTTGATACAGCAGCATGAGTGGACCGTTTTTGACAAGCAATACTTCTTCCATTTTCCTAGTCCCAAAATTCTTTCCTCAACAGGCTTCTAGAATGCCTATTTTTTCGAGTTAGTTCAAAAGGCATTGGCGACCAAGCATGTCATTGATAATTTACCTAAGGAGCATCGAAGCTGCTGTTGTCTTCAAACTTTGTTCATTTCCTACATTTATACCCTAAATATGAATTAAATTTTGCTCTGGACGCCAATTCTCTTTGTAGTGTAAATAGGTCCTCTGGTCTTCTGAGGAGTAAAGTGTCATTGTCAAATTGACAATGTTGCTTAATGTTTAAATAACTAATTTAACTTTGATTACGTTATTTTATTTTTATTTTCATTGTAATTTAACAAGATCAATTTGAAGATTTTTGAATTTTAGTGCATAAACAATTTATTTAATTAGATTGTCATCTGTAATTGAGAAATAAAAGGAAGTATTTTGAGAAAAAAATTCAATTTACAAACACAGAAAATTCACGATTATTTATTTTTATTTTCATGGAATTTTTTGTTCAAAAAAGTTATCCGGTCTTTGAGAACCAAAGATATTAATGATTGTTAGGTTTATAGGGGATAAAATCAATATTTTGATGTGATGAATTAAATATTTTGTATTGCTATTTATTTTTTTGATACTTGATAGTTTATTTATTGTACACTCTTGATACCAGCATATATTTTCTGTATATGTTTACTACCATATTTCACTGTTTTATGGTTGATATATTTTTTTCCCTTGATCTTCTTTATAAACAACAGCTTCTTAAAATGACTGATAATGGACAAGCCATTGGAAACTAAAACATTTTTGCCGTTTATTTTTACTACCACTTGACATAAAATTTAATAATTGTTTTTACTTTTCCTTAATCTCATTTGTAAACAGCTTCTCAAAATGATTGATGATGGACAAGCTGTTGACATCAGCGGAATTTCTGAAAGGTCTTTGACCAAGCGTTTAAAGAAGCTGTTCCGCTCGTTAAACCTTGAAGAGACTCAAGATAGGGTATTCTTATTACCTTCCAATGGTCGTTCTACTTTGGAACTTATTGGACCAATTATTCAGTTTCACATGGAACAAAAGAGGAACCAGTTTGACCATTCTGTTACTTTGGATAATAAGTCGTCACCCCCTTCGAATATGGAAACCACACAAGCAAGAGAGGACAATATGTCAGAATTGGCATGCCCAGATGGTGAAGCCAGTGGTCCTAAAAGAAGGTAATTGTGCTTATTTCCCCTATTAGTTATTGATGTACCTTATGCAGTACGTGTTTATTGTTATTTATTCTCTCTCTTTTTCACAAAAGATGTTTATTACTAGTTTGTATGCACTTAATAACAAATATTTGATAATTCTTTCCCTCGGTTGCTAAACTTAATGGAGTTGTGCATCATATCCATTCAATAACTTATCTCAACCTAAAATTGCTTCGTCAATAGTCTGGACAATAGAGATGATACAATTGTTTGAGGGTTGGGTAGAATGACAATGAGAGGTAGGAGTCACAGGTTGCCATCGGTAAGGAAGAAACGTCCTAACATTCATATTCTTTAATGTAGTTCTCGCCCTAAATCGTCATTTTGGGCAAAAAGGTTGGTTTTCCAAAACAAAAAAAAAGAGTCAGCCAAGGGACATAAAATTTGGGACCAAGTGGATAAAAAAGTGCATACGTTTTGTTCGAGATTAAGGAAAATGTGCTTTGATGCTTTAGGAACTAACTTTATGAATATATGTGAATAACAGAGTGTAGGTTGCAGGCCAACAAGTTTTGGTGAGATCATATAGAACAATTTGATAGTTGAGAACCATGATTAATAATGGATTAAATTCCAGAAAAACTTCTTTAATTTTATTAAACAACACCAGAGTATATATTACAAGAGGGACAGCGAAACGTGGTTTACAGAACCAACCCACCACGAAGCCACAACACACGATTAAGGAGAAAAAACTGAAAAAATACAGCAATCACTAACTCTAGATAAAAAAGGATAGAATGGTGCCGTTACACTAAACTGTAAATAAAAGAAAATAAAATACAAGAAGTCAAACGAGCTGAAGATTCATAACTGACATCTTTTAACAACTGGTTTATCAAAGAGGCGGCTTTTCTCCAAAATTTCTTTAGGAGCATAAGTGATAAACACCAATGATCCAAGAGCCTTGAGGTTTCTAACTTTATATTTCTCCTTTGGACAACCCCAAGTAAAGATTACTTGATAATCAGTTCCCAAGATTTGTGAAGGAACTCTCCTGTTAGTTATTAGTTCTCTGTTTGTTCATATGGATTCCAAATTGGTTTCAATCATCTTTTGGAAATAACTTAATAGCCAAGTAATAACAATGCAATGTTGGATTGGATCCTTGAGACATGGAAGTAGAATAGGCATATATAGTGCCACTCGTTGTTAAGGTATTGCTGGATAATTTCAATCTTACATGTCCTTTTTTCATATTTTGGTACAGGATGCTTGGCCCTGAAATGCCATCGGCTGAGCTTCTTGCTGCTGCAGCAAAACTAACCGAAGCGCAAACTGAGCTTAGGTATTTCATGAAATGTTATACGTACTTATTAGATCATGTGATATTTTAATTTAGATAGATATTTTTTAACAGATAATGGTGTAGGTAAAGTTAAATAAACTTATTTCCATCTTGTCTACATTTCCAGGGAAGCTGAGTTGGAGGAAGACAATGAGTTATTTGTTGGGCCTCCACCACCTGCTATGGTTGCAGAAGCTGAAACAGCTAATGAGGCAGAGCGATTTGAAGAGGTATGTTTTACTTATACGCGATGTAATATGCTGAAATAAGAATGGTGTGGTAAAATATCCAATAAGCAATAAATCTCTCGAGTCTAAATCTTTTGATGTTATATCAAATTTCAAGATTATTGGAAAAGGAGGATATGCTATTTGTTAACAGTCAACCCTCTCCTTGGGATAGTTCAAGTTTTCACTTTTTCGTAGTAAGTATATTTTATTTTAATTGCTACAAGATAGATAAGTTGAGACGAGACTTGTTCAACCAAAGGATCCCATATGGAGTTAAAAACCTATTTTTAATGGAACAAAGATCCTATAGTGTTAGCATATCGGATAATGCACAAGCATTCCATGAAAAAAATGTTATATTTCAACTAATTACATTGTCATCTCAGGTTTCAAGAATTATGGATGTGGAGGGAGATAGCCCATATGACATTTTAGGATTGAACCGAAACCTCTCCATTGAAAACATTAAGAAGAGGTATGATTCTGAGTTATTAAAATACTACAACTTCCTTGTATCCAGAAATATTGCTACTTCTTAGCTTTTTATGATAAACTATCCCGTTTATATATGTATCTTTTATTGCTATCTTAAAGGGAATTTGGTTATAATCATGATTTTTTTCTCCAATACCCATGTAAAGATTATCAACTAACATAGCTTGGGTCATTGACTTGAAATTTGTATTTTCAAAAGCAAGCTAATAGGTTAGGGTAAATTTAATTTTTTTCAATATATTCTTTTTATCGTGTAGTAACTTGCGGTGCATTTTTCATTTTTCTTCAGGTATTGGAAGATGTCACTTTTGGTGCATCCAGACAAGTGTTCTCATCCTCAAGCCAACCAAGCTTTTATTAGATTGAATAATGCTTTCAAAGAATTACAAGATCCTGATAAGGTAATTTCTTCTCAAGTTGAGGTGAATTTGGTTGTGATATTGAGAATTTATTGAATTGCCCGACTCGATATCTTCTCTTGGTTGAAGCCTTATTTTGGTGTTTCTAACCATCCACTCATTTTTGTCGATCGGCAGTGTTAAGGTCCACCTAGTGTATCAAATTGTTTTGAAATGATAGAAAAATGATATCTTTGTTCACAACAGAAAAACTTTTATTATGTTGAATTAGATAATCTTCTCTTTGTTTCTCGAGCCTACAGTGAGTTATAGACAGAATTCTGTATTTAGTTTGTTTTTACACACTATAATGCTTGTTATGATGTTAATTCTATAGAGATATAGAATTTTATACATAAAAGATAAATTGTATTTTTCAAAGATGCAACATTGTCCAACATAGCTTACAAAAGAAAAAAAGCTCAAGTATCTTGCTGTAATAGCGTACAATTGAAGTTTCTAGCTTCATTTTATTGGTAGTGTTGTGGAATTTTAGTTGGGAAGTGGGAACTTGATTGGGCTAATTTGATGCATATCTACAATAGTAGTCATTTAGAGTCCTAGGTCGAGGCCTAGGGGCGAGCATGGGTGTCCCTAGGTATAGGGTAGCAAAATTTCAACTCTTGGTTACTGAAAAAAAGGTAGTCATTTAGTGAAACAAATATACTTGTACGAGAAAAGTATCCACTGTCATAGCACCAACATCGATTGACACAATATTCATGCATCTATGATTTTTGTGCACCTGAACTGCGTTATGGTCAATTGGAGTCTCTCTCTTGCTATTCTTTTTAAATTTTTGTAATGTATTTTTTCTTGGATTTTGATGATAAATAGTATACTTTAGCTTGTGGTTTTGAACTATTTTAGAAATTTGATATTTAAGACCAATGACAATATATGTTCTTTAGATGAATCTTAGTGTTAAACGATCTTTCAAAATATCTTGTTATCTAAATGCACAATTGATATGTTCTTTCTAGAAGAGAAAAAAAAAGCCCCATTGATATCGAAGGGCTGTAAAATGTGACAAATGAAAAATGCATCATGAGATGAATGAGGAACATCATTGTTAATTCTAATTTCTACCCCTCAATTCAAAGGAACTTCATTGATAATCTGAATCAGCCCTGCTCGAAAAAGGAGACTAGTTTCCTAAATACAATGTTCAATTTTGCAGCGGAAGGCATTGGATGACAAAATTAAACTCAAGGAGGAACAGGAGCAATTTAAAGTATGCATTCTGCTTCAAGCTCTACATACGGGTACGAGGGAAATTGTCAATTTTGAATTAATGTTTTCTACTTATGTAGGTTGAATTAAGAGGTATGCGTGAGGCTGCAAAATGGAGACAGTCACAAGGTTAGATCATCTATGTCCATTCATGAGTTCAATGATCTCTTTTTAGTATATTAAAAAAGTAACCAATGGATACTATAATGACGAATATCACATTCCATTGAGAAAATGTTCAATATAATAGTTAGTTGCCAATTTTTGCAGCTATTCATGAATAAGTTACTGTCATGTGAATTAGTGGACGAGTTGTGTTTGCTTTTAGTTTTTGCACTTTTGCTGTGGAAGCTGCTATATATAAATTTTGCCATTAGGAATTTGTGCTCTTTTTGGGGGCTGCAATTGTGGAACCATGTGTTTATTTTCTCTGGTTGCTGAAACTTCTATGTCTTCAGGGATATCAATGGATGGTGATGAAGAACTCCTTGCCAACACGGAAGATGATGTCAAAGTAGAACCGAAAAGAGACGAATGGATGACGACCCTACCTCCTGAAAGAAAGGTTAGGCACTTTTTTCCTTTTTCTTTATTAAAATTCTGTCTCCTACTTTACCGTTTCAAATAATCTACATCTTTTCCCAAGTTGTATCTCACCGTTCGAACAAGTTGGTGCAAACTCTTCTGATTTGGTAACTGATTGTGGTACAGTTTATAATACTCTAGGATAATAATGATTTCTTATTAGATGTTTTAAATTTCTGAAAAGGCAGCAGAGCTGTTCCATTTCATTCAAGCATATCCTTTTTAAATATTAAGTACTGATCTTCAGTAAAATGGGAAATAAAATTAATTGTCAATTAGAGTTCTTGTCTTAGTCAATTGAGGAAATTTACCTGATTGATATCTTATTCATTTTGCAACCATTAGTGGTATTAATTAGTGAGAGTCGATAATTAATTGGATATTTCTTACGATATCTTGTAATTTTCACACTATAAATCCTGCAGGCTGCTCTATCTTACTTGATGTTAAGTCTGAACAGTGAACACTGTTTAATTATGGTTATTAGCGAGGTTGCCTCTTGAACCTTTTGCCTTCCCTTTCAGCCTGGCATCACCATGCAATCTTCTAGATTTAGCAAGAGCTCCAAGGAAGGTCGTGGCGATACAAGTGTTTGGACGGACACACCATTGGACAGAGCTCAGAAAGCAAAGACGAGGTGCACATTTGTTACCTTGAATGGTCGAAATTAGTTTAAATCCCAATTCCCGTAGTAACAAAATACTAAACATTGATTTAATCTCCATTTATCAGTTACTTGGAAGCATACAACGAAGCCACTGCGCTTGCTTCAAACGAAGAAGCAAAGAAACATAGTTCAGAGTCAGCTTTGGTGGACAAATACAATAAAGAAAAGCGCTCTAAATCGTTGATAGAGAAGCATCGGGAAGAGACACGAAGCCGTGCAAAGAAGAAATCGAAGCAGGTGGCGGAGAAAGGCGATGATTGGGTGGGGAAACATCCATGGAAGCCTTGGGACCGCGAGAAGGATCTAACTGCTGGGAGGAAGACCGTAAATTTTGATCCCGAGAACATGGCTCAAGGCTTAGGCTCCAGGTTTTCCTCAGGAAGTTACCAAAGAAATTTTCTTTAGAATCATTTGTATTTGTATATGAAATACTGCGAGGATGGTGGAAACCTGCTTGCAACTCTGCCTCCAATGTAGCATTTGATTTTGTAATGTGAATTTAATTCAGTTCTAACCTAAGTTTTCTCGGAGGATAGGAATTCGAATTCATCACCTTTAAATCGAAATATAGTCTTAACCGGTTGTTGAGTTATGTCAGGTTGACTTAAAAATAATAATAACATAAAATAGAAGGAACTTTGATGGCGAGTCAATCGTTCTCATTTCTAGAAAATGAAATGGAACATGATTGACTACAAGTTTTGAAATATCACATAACAATAGATTATAAATGTAGAGTAGATTCGAATCAACGATCTATGAAAATAAGTATTAAGTATTGGTACTCAATCGCTTGAACACCCCAATTCAATTCTCCACAAATAATGATGATATTACTTCTCACATGATCCCAAGATTCAGACTTCAATGGTGTAATTTCTTTTAATCATCCAATTCAAAAAGAAGAAAATATCAACAATACACTGACTACATTTTTTTAATAGATGTAAATTCACACTATCCAAATGCCGAAGTTCAACTAAGATATCATAAAATTATGAAAACTAATAGCCATTTTTGTTTTTTTGGTCATGGTACACTCTAAAATTGTGTTGGTAGAGTGTGCTTTGTTGCATGGTGCATTTTGATTCTAAAAGCACACACAACCAAGAGCAATGAATGAGCTTTGAGAAAAGAAAAAAAAATGATACAACCAACCAAAATTTTGGAGTTTGAGAATCCATCTTAAGTCTTGCCATCCAAACGTCCGAGTAAACTTAAGGCCAGTCTGTTAATTGATATTCTGCCAAGTTTGATCAAGAAGTTTCTAAAGGCCATTAGATTAAGTATCTTGTCAAACTTGCTCAAGAAATTTCTTTGAAGAGTTGAAGTCACTAGAAGTTATTAGAGTGCAAGATGTAGCAAAATTGTAACCACAAGATCATCACCTTAACTAAGGCTAAGATGTGGCAAATTTATAGCCACTAGATCATCACCCTATCCAAGGCAAATATGTGACAAATTGATGGTTATATGATTTTACTTGACGAGCAAGTATCTTGAGCTATAAATAGGTGGGCACCCATCCTAAAAACTCAAATTCAAGTGAGCTAAAGTGCGAAACTCGTTGAGATAAAGATAGGGGGAGTTTCTTTTTAGGAGAGATTTGTTCTCTATAAGAGAGAAAATTTGCAACTCCTATTTTTATGGAAAATACTTGGCTCTTCACTAGTAATGAGCAACTTTGTCATTACCACTATTAAATATTTTGTAACTCATCATTTTTTAAAAATTTTTTGTGGAAATTATTCTATTATTGCCCGTGATTTTTACTCTAGTTTGTTTAAGGATTTTCTACGTAAAATTACTGTGTCTTTATTCTTCCCCTTCTTCTTCCTTACTTCTTCTCAATCTATTATCGTAGTTGTGATCCTACTCTACGACTGTCGAGGAGTTTCTATTTATGCTTGTACCTATAAGAACACATTCAAAATCTTCGACACGATAAAGTTAAGACAATATTTCCAGAGGAAAATATCATTTATAAGCTATAATGCATTTCTAGTCCTTTATGACTTAGGGTGAGTTTGACACATCTTTTTAGTATAAACATTTATTTTCACTTTTGGTTAGTAATCATTTCTAAATTGCTTAAAATCAGCATCAATCACTTTAGTCTATTTTTGGATAATCATCTTACAAGTGTTTCGCCGCGCAATCCGATTTTTAAAAATGCTTTTTACCTTGTTAACAGACGCTGTAGATCTTCTAAAAAGCAGTTTTAGTCCTCTAAAATAACCTGGATTTCTGTAATAAACACATTTTGAATTAGTAATTCTTCCAAAAACGTCGGTAGAAAATTTGTTTTTGCTTTGTACCTTGACTTGCTTCTAAAAAATGATTAGAGTAATCTAAACTTTACTTTCCAACTTGCTAGATAAGATGCCAAAATTATCAATTTGATCTTCAAATTTATCTATAATGTTTTGAAAATACTCCATTAGGCCCAAAAATTGTTAAAAGAGTTGATGTATTATTAAAAAATTATCTTATCTATGGATGCATGCCACTCAAATTCCAAGTTCCACACATGATACCCAACTTGTCTATAAAACAAATCTAGTTCTTGTCAGCTGCATGCCGCTACTCCAAATATGTAATAAAACAATAATTTAATGACATATCAACTTTCGGTAAATAAATTTTAACTTATTTTTTTTACTGAATGACCAAATTGAAAATTACCTCAAAAGATTAGGTACCATTTGATATAGTTAGCCTTTTATCTCCTTGCTTCGTTCCTTAATATATAATTTTAATATTTCAAGATCACAAATTGCACCGCAATAATAAACTAGATCTGTTCGTAGCGAAATAATAATGGTAAATAGTAAATTAATAAATTAATTATCAACAATAATTTATATGGAATCTAAAAAATTGGAATACAAAACAAAACTTAAATTTCTTTAATATTTTTAATTATAATATGAAATTATATCCATATAAATGAAAAAGTTTACATATAACAAAATGGTAGCCTGAATTTTTTATTTTTTATTTTTTAGAATTTTTAATAAAGGAGCAAAATATTTTTAGAAAGACAATATGTCCAAATTAGGTAAATAACATTTTCTAAATAAAAGTATTAAAAAATTATATATTTAAAAAGTGGCATGAAATAATGAAATTTAAATATACCTATAGAGATTAAACGATTAAATTAGTAAAATAATTTTATCTCAAATTAAAAAAATCAATATATAACCAAATGTTAGCTGGAAAAATCGTTAGAATTTTTAATAAACAAACAAAATGTTTTAAAAAAAATTTATGAACTCAGATCAGATAAAATGATATTTTAAAAATAAAAAATATTAAAATACTTACATCTTTTTTAATTAATATATGAAAAATACTGAAAGGTAAAAAAGAAAAAAATGAGTGGTATAGATAAGTAATTTACGATATTTCATTATTTTTATTTTAAGTATATTTTATTAATAATAATTATTAGTTTTTGTAATCTTATGTTTTTCTATGTTTCGGGGGTTGCAACTAACGGTGCTTATCCTTAATTGTCGCCTCGCTCAGCATGGGTTAGTCTAGGGTGTGGTTTGGGTCTGTCGACCCTTGTTAGTCGGCCTATGTTGGGCCAGGGTGGTTGGGCCCAAGGTTGATTGACCTTAGTTGGTCTTCTTAAGGTGATCATGCCCATGTCTCAGATTGGTCGGCCGTTCGGGTGTAGCAAAAATTGCTTACAATTTACAAGAAGGTAAATCTAGTGGCTACATCAATCCCTGCAAAAAAAAATTAGTTCATAATGAAACTAGAAAAGATAAAAGGGAAAAGATAGAAACTAAATATGTCTTCATAATTGATCATTCCCAACTCAATCTCACCATCACAAGCATTCAAAACAGTCTCCTCACCCTCCAAGGTTGAGTCTCGTCCTTTTGTGCACAAAACCCTTAATTTATAAAAGGATATCGTTACAGCGTCATGACGCCCATTAGTGAGCGCCATGGCGGTGTCCTTAAATCATGACGGACGAGTGAAGTTCATAGTGCCATGGCACTATATGATAGCACAATGACGCTGTAATCACGGATTAAGTCTCAATTTTCGTCTACAGGCACCATGACGCTATGTGGTGGCGCTATGACATTGTTTCTTCAGAATTTTGCTCCCTTTTGGTTCTTTGACTATGATTTTCCTCTCAATTAAGATCACTTTATGTTCCATTTCTTCTTGATTATTCATTCTTGCAAAATCTACATTATGTACGTAAATCTACAGGAACAAACAAAAATTAACAGATAATCCCCACCTAAATGTCATGAAATGTAGCTCATAAAGTATGTTATTCAACTAGTCGACTAGAGTTGGTTGGCTTGTGCTGGTCGGCTTTGGCTGATTGATCCAGGGTGGTTGGTCGTGGGACGATTAGGCCTGTGTTGGTCAAGCCAGGTATGTCGTTTGGGGGTGGTCGAGCTTTGGATGGTCTGGCTTGGCCTGGTCGTCCTTCGGTGTTAGCCTAGACTGGTCGACCAGGGTTGGTCAACCTATGATAGTCGGCTCGGGCTAGTCAGCCTAGGTTGGTCAACACGTATTAGTCAATCGTGCTGGTCGAACTGAGTTTGTCAACCTCAATTAGCCAACTTGGGTGGTTGGTCTGGCTGGCCTCGGTGGTCGACCAAGATTGGTTCGCCAATGCTGGTGCCTAGGATGGTCGTCCTTGGGTCGTTGGGCCTGTGCTTGTCACTTGTCGGCTCGTTAATCTAGCTTGGTGACAGCTTGAGCTGATTGGCCTTGGTTGTTTCACTTGTGCTGGTCCGCATGGAATGGTCAGTTCAAGTTGGTCCGCCTAGTTTAGTCGACCCGTAAAACATCTTATAGCTCCTTAGGAAAAAAAGAAGAGAACCATGTAAGTGAGCATAGAGAAAGCGGAGAACAACCAGGGAAATCTTAGCATTGAAAGTAATGGTTTATTTCAGGGGTGATTCGCACCTCAACTAAAATCACTACCAACTAATACTCCAAAAATCACTTTAAAATTATTTTTATTTTTAAAAAATCAATTTTATCCCTTAACAAACATGATAATTTAAAAGAAAGTGATTTTACCCATTGCAAAATAATTTTAGTCATGCAAAAATTACTTCCAAACACACTGTAAACAGCATGTTTTGGAGTGATTTTGGTATCGCTGGAATCAATTCACTAATGCCAAAATCACTTCTAAAATTATACTAAGGTGATGTTTAGGAATGATTTTAAAATTAGCGATTTTAGCAAAAGAAATTTAATGATAATTGATTTTGTGAAAGTGATTTTTATATAATTATTTTAACGTTTTGTTACATTTTTTCAAGTGATTTTTATAAAATTAAAAGTGATTTTTGAATGATTAATATTTGAAGTTAAAAAAGAGAGAATTTGACAAAGTTGTAAAGAGAGAAAAGTTAGAGGAACAAAATTCGTAGAGAGAAATTTTAAAGAATAGAGAGAAACATTTTAGAACCATAAATAAACTGAGATGGAGCTGAAAATTTTGATGGAGATTACAAAAATTTAGAGAAAAAAATTAGTGAGAATAAACAAAATTAAAGATAAATAAAGTAAGAGATAACAAAAAATTTTAGAAATAAACAAAATAAAAATTTCTCAAATTTTAAAGTTAAAGTGCGTGAAATAGAAAGACAATTTTAAAATTTAAAACAATGACCATTTTAAAAACTAATTTCTTAATAATTTTTTGACCAAAAATGATTCGGGAATCCCTCCCAAGTAATTGACAAGTGATTTTTTGGCTTGATAATTATTGTCAAACATGTTATTTTAAAATCCTAGTGATTTTGACATTTGTGAAATTGATTCAACCATGTTAAAGTCAAATGATTTTTGTAAAAAAAAAAAAGGATTTAATTTTTAAAATGATTATTGTTTTAAATTTCAAATTTATTTTTCTATGAATTTTTTTCTTAAATTTTTTTTTTGTCTCTCTAACTTTATTTAGTTTGTTCTTTATTTTTTTCTTTCTAAAACTATTGTAATCTTTCTAAATTTTTAGTCCCATTATCTTTCTATGTTTATTTCCCCTTCTAAAATTATTAAGATCGATTATTTAGTTATATATATCATTTTGTATCATAATTACTTAATTTTTAAAATATATATTATTAATTTGGTTATATGTACCATGTTTTTTTAAATCATAATCAAATAAATTTTAAAATATACATTTTTTGATAAATTAAAATACACATTATTAAAGAGTGATCATAGATTGAAATCAAACCTTAAACATTCAAAGTCAATTTTTTTTAGGTATATTTTCAAAATAAATTTTAGTTAAAAATTGTTTAACCAAACCTTCAAACAATTATATAAACGAATGATTATTTTTACCAGATCACTTGTTACTAAACATCACTGTCAAACATGTCTTAGACATATTCTGAATTAGTAATTCTTTTTGAGGTTGCTGCTAAAAGAAAATAGTTTTATTTAAAAATTATTTTTTCATCAGAGTCATCCCAAACAAATTATAAGATGGAAAAGTATTTTCAAAAGGGCTGCCACTGCCCTTTTCCAACTTCTGCTATTTCAAAGACTTTGTTTTTGAAGCAAATAAATCTACAAAAATTTTCCTCACTTTGGGGCCTTCCGAGAAGGAGAATCTCTTCAGTTGGACGAAAATGGCAGGCGCTAGAACTTGGACTTCGACAAATAAAGGTATTCTAATTTCATCACATTATTGCTTCCAAGAATTATTTCTCTCTTTTTTAACATCCTGTACGAGTGTTAGAATTGGTGGGTACAGTCTCAGAATCTGATACACAATCATTGTTAGCCGTCGTATTTATTATGCTAAAAAGTAGTAACTAACAAAAGGATTTAGGAGAAAAAGCCACAGCAGTTGCAGATGAAGTGTTTGTAAAAATGACAAAGAGAAGAGACCAGGAATGAGATGTGTAAAACTAAGGATTTGAAATTATACATAACTAAATATTCATGAGGTTACGTCTCAAAATCAATTGGTAATGAGAGAGGTAACATATGTATTACTATAAATCTGTTTCTTGATCTTTTTGACGCGAGATCCTTGACAATTACTCTAGTTTGTGTAGGACGACATGAGCTCCATGTTGGGGCTGGATTGTTATACTGGAGGTCGGAGCGTGAGTGTATGATGAAGAAAGCTCAAATGAGAAGCGTTGTAGGATTATTGCCAATGCCGTTTTGGCCTCAATCATGGCGAAGTTTTGTCCAATGCATATTCGAGGTCCCCAACCAAATGGAATGAAAGCAGTTTGGTTATTTTTTGTTGCTTTAGAAACTCCCTCAGAAAATCTCTGTGGTTTGAATTCTTGAGCATCTTCGCCCCATAGTTCACGATCATGTTGGATGAGAATTGTTGGTAACCCCAACATCACCCCGGCCGGTAAAGTCAACTGTCCAAACCTTGTTTCCTTTTGAACAAGACGACTCACCATACCCACTGGTGGATACAACCGGAGAACCTCGTTCAAAATCATAGTTACCTGTGTCATTGCAAAATATCAGTGCTTAGCTTACACAACTATAAATTTAATAGCACTCCTGGCTCCAAATACAGACTTTGGAACTTCAAGTTGAATAATAACAGTTCCTGTCCAAAAACGCTCCCTAGAAGTTTCATGTGGATTATTTTTACTCTTAATGGAAGATTAGTATTTAAGTTTATTTGCACGAGAAAGTAAAGTAGAAAGCAAAGATAGGAAAATCAAACTTACAACTTTTAGACGACTTAAACCATCAAAGTCTGGCTCCCTATTGCCAAAGACTTGTAAAACTTCTGCTCTCGCTCGTTCTTGCCATTCTGAGTGTGAACTCAACAAAATCATAGTCCAAATTAGTAATGTAGCTGTAGTTTCTTGGCCAGCAAGATAGAAAAGTTTGCATTCTTCGATAACATCTTCTATGCTCATTCCAACATCTTTGTTGTTTCCATGTTGTCGAATTTCGTTGAGATTAGATTCCATGAGAATGCCTAATAGATCATTGTGTATAGCTTCACCGGCCTCCATAGCCTTTTGCCTTTCATTTATAATACCCAATATCAAACCTTTTATCTCTTTATCCATCCTTTTCATTTTAGTGTTTGACTTGGTGGGTAAAAACCTGCAGATAATACATTGACTTTAGAGATGGTAACAGGTAACTTATCAATTGACATGAAATTAAGGTACTATATGGTTACATAATTTGTTGAAGCAATGGAATAATAATGAAAAATCTTTACGAAGTGAAAGCTAAATTTGCTATTTATTGGTGCTTGTCTAAGCCTAAAACCTTCAAAATTTAAAGAAAAAAACCACTTTATTAGAAACTTTTAGTTAGAAGAGTTTGTTTTTACCTCGATCCTGGAATATAAATTCTTAAGGTAGATTTAATCGCCAGAACACCTAGTTCTTTCTGAAGTTCGAAGATCCTTTTTCCTTTTTCGTAGCTACTCCCAAATGCTGTTCGAGAAATAATATCTGCAGTCATACTTTGCAGATAAGGCATCACATCTAACTCGCACAGTCCCTCGTTAGAGACCATTCTTTCCCATTTGTCAACCATCTCGTTACAACTGTGAGAGAATGCTGGTACCATATCCTATAAGCCAATTTAAGGATATGTATGAGTAATTAACTGGTTTCAATCAGTTTTATTCAATGTATGATCCAATAAACAAGTGTTTTTCTCCCCCATTTTGGTTAGAATCCATTGTAATGAAACCCTTTAAAAATTTAAGGACCCTATTTGATAACCATTTTATATTTCGTCCCTTAGCATTTTTTTTTTTTGCATTTCTTAAAAACACATCTGAATTTTAAGCCATCTTTTTATTAAACAAAATTTTAAACTCTATATATATTTTTTTAGTTTTCAAAATTTGATTTAGATTTAGATTTTTTTTTTTAAAGTAAATAGCAAAACAATAAACAAATACATCGGGTAAAACTTTCAAAAACATAAAACTAAAGACAAAATGGTTATCAAACATTCGAGTGTGAACGGACAAGAAAGAAAGGGATACCTTCAACTTCTCCAAATGAAATGCAGGGTTGATTATTTTTCTGTGTTTAACCCATTTTGCTCCTTCATGGTTTACAAGTCCATCAGCAAGCAATTTAACAAGAGGGTTTATACTTGGCTTTTGGATATCATTGATTAGCATATATGCTGTTTTAACCTGTTCTGCCTCCATGATGTGCACTCTTGGAATGGGGCCAATCCACATAAATGAATTTTTACCTGCACTTCCCAACCATTTGCATATTTTACAACAAAACTTTTCGGGTTAGAGATCGAAGCATTAAATTTTAAGATAGTAATAGATGTTTTAACTGGTGAACTATATACTCGAATTGACTATTTTAGAACAAAGTCCATAATATTTAAGATGATAATAAGTATCTTTATCTACTGAGCTACCTTCTTGAATTGACTAGTTTAGAAAATACATTAGAAATAGTGTAGGTTAATAGCTTTGATTGTTTTTATTGTCTTTTGAAATAAGTAAATAATTATGTTAGCATTAGAGATGTCGAACCAACGGATGATGTGTGTAGAAACATACATGATAACCTGAGTATAACTCAACAGTTAAAAATTAAATAACCACGTATTCATATACTCGTTAGAGGTGCAAATATGTGATGTGTGTGTTTGTTACCGTAAATTTGGATGGTTTGATGAACAGAAGGAACGACACGTGGAGCAATATGATTGGAGAAGTTCATGGGCTTCGAGTTGGCCCGATCATTCGCCGCGGATCTGTACTTGAGGTCTCCGTGGAGAATCTGGTAAGAATTTCCGGCGAAACCTTGATTTCTCAAGTAGTTCTCTAATTTCTTCGGCCTCAACCAAATCCAGTCCACGACTCTCCATGCCCCTACCACTAAGCATACTGCAATTGTTATCCAAACTGAAATCGTAGCTCCGACCCACGTTTCCATTAGAGAGAGGGAGATAGAGATGGAATGGTGGAGGAGAAGCGGAAATTATCTCTACTATTTATAACCAAAGGAAAATATTGCAACTATTCTCCTCATGCTTCTTTCTTTCATACTTTTCCTCTTTTCTAATTTTGTCAAAATTTTGAATTTACTCTATAAATTTGATTTTCTTGAACTTTAAAAAGTTTCAAATTACGGATAAAAGTTTTTATCGAGGAGCAAGATTGGAAGATGAAATTAATTAATTATTATTATTTTTTTAAGTTCAATGATCGTGGGAAATATAATTGGTACCTTATCCACAACCTAGGTTCCAAATGACTTACATCGTAGAACTTTTAATAAGTAACAAAATTACTTAAAAAAAGGTTGTTTATTTTTCGGAGATGTAGATCTATAGATGCCTCTAATTTTATATGTCTAGAATTTTAGATGTCCATCATATCATATTTAAATAATCACGTTTGTTTTATATGAAAATTTAGAAGGATAGCCACATATGTTTTACATATTTATTATTGGGAATGTGTTAAATTTATAAAATGATGTTCCAAAAATACCCTTACTATTCCTATAAATGAAAAATTCATTTAATATAATAGATTTATTTGAATTAATTTAATATTTTATTTTTTTATATGTTATTTTGTAGAATAAATTGATTCATATTAATTTAATATAAATTCCATTTTAAACTTTAATATTTCTCAAAAAGACAATGGTATATAATTATATCGTATTGGGTGAAATTTATTTATCTCATCATCATATTATTTTTTTTAAGATGAAAAATATCACGGGTGTGCTGGTCGTAAAAAAAATGTTACTTTAGAATTATATATTTACAATAATAACTATTATTAATAATATAATTCCTCCAAAATATTAAAAATAAATGGATATATTATATAGTTTAATTGCAGTTTATTTTTTATGTAAATATAATGTACAAAAATACTTAATTGCATAAAGTTGTTTATTAGACTATAAGTACTTTAATTTATTTAAGTTATAAATTTTAAAATAAAAATAACGATTTTTTTAGAAAAAAATAAAGAAAAAATATAAAAAAAGGATAACAATGTAAATAGTGAATGCCTTCGACATAGAAATTTTGGAAACTAAAAGGGCATCCAAAACTCATGAGATGCCTCCCCGAATGAGCATCCAAGATGTTTGGGTATCTTAGCAAAACAAACGTTAGAATTTAAATGTTTGTCCAATGAGAATCTTGGATTTTCACAAAACGAATGACCATTAAGTAGTTGATGCAAAATGTACTCCCCTGCTCTATCCATCGAATTATTTTACTCTGCTGACATATTGTCTTGTATGTTGTTATGTGCCAAATCGTTTTATTTGTAGTACAACAAACGTGGAGATGAGAGTTGAACTTCCAACATTTAGAGAACGAGATGCTTTAATAGTTAAGCTATATTGTTCATGTAGGCATTGTGTGCGAAATTATTACTTGCTATTTCACATAAATTCAGATTAATATTTAAGTAATGGTTTTAAGACAATGAAACCTATGAAATTCAAAGTCTAAAGTTGGACATACTTGACGTTTTTAAGTTAAGAAATTAATTAGAGGATACAATCATTGATTCATGAAGATTCATGAACAACTAAAAACTTTACTAAAAAAAAAAATATTGTTCTATATTTTAAGATAAAACTTAAAATTTAAAAATATCGTTTTCAATTTTCTTTAACCTTCATTTTAAAAATCTGCTAAAGCAATGCCAGAGCAGGTCTTGGGATTTTGTTCACAATAAGTATTTTTAGTCCAAATGATTTAATTATAATTATTTTGGTAAGAATAATTTAATAACAAATTATTTTAATATGTCAACATGAACAAAACTTACAGTAACTGACATAATGGTTGAAAGTTTGATCTCTCATTGTTATATTAAAAACACATTGATTCAGTTATAGATTTTTAAAAGTGATTCTGATAGGATTAATTTGTAATTTTTGTGTTATAATAATAATATTTTGTTTTATTTTTTTTGTGAAGCCTTGTTATTTACTTTTATAAATACAAAATAAATAAAATACATAATTAAGTATAAGACATGAATATTAGCAAATAAAAAATTGAAAGGTCAATATACCAAATGTGTCAAGAATCTCACGTTGATAAAAGAATGGACCTTACATAGATTTATAATAAATATGGACTAATTATCTCATTGCCAATTGATTTAGAGCTAGAACCCCATGAATATTAATATGGTATCAGAGCTCAAAAGCTCAAACGAGCATCCTGTCTAGAAAATGAGATTTGGTTAAGATCAATGAGCTAAAAAGATCCACGATCTTGAAGGGATATGTTTATAATAGACGTAAACTACTCCTCTCGTTACCAATTGATTTTGAGATGAAACCGATAAAGTATTAATAAAATATGCAACGAGTTATCCAATCTATTCCTAAAACGTCTAATACCCTTCCAAAGTCCATAGTTTACATAGAAATTGTTGCAGTAATAGAAATAAAATATTATATATATATATATATATTTTTTTTACTAGGTTGCTTGCAGGACAAGTTGGCAACTTTAGGTTCTTGACTAATTTTGTGGAAAATTCGGAGATGTCTTTCCAAATATATCTTGAGAAAAGTGATTGGATTTCAATTCAACGGAGGCAAACAGTCTAACTATTTCGAGAATATAGTTCGAATCGTTTTATTTGGAAATAAATATCTAGATCAATTGAATTATGTTCAAATTAGTTTCAATATATGTTGATAAATCTTAGAAATTTTATTTTTATATTTACGTAGTTTTTAAATCTTTTTACTTCTGTACAACAATTTGTGGATATAGGGGATCAAACCTCTAACTTCAAAGGAAGAAATATATGTCAATTACTGTTAAACTATGTGCATATTGACATATCTATTTAGTTTTAAAATTATGCGGGTGAAATAGTTTCATTTAATATTTATTTTTCTATCAGCCAATGAGAGAGAGAAACGATGGATCTAATTTTGGATAAAATTATATAAATATTTTTGGTTGTTTTGAAAGAGTTTGGGTCTATCATAAATTAATCTGAATTTGTGTAAACATTTATATATTTAGCTTTTGTTTTCGATTATTCTATTTATGACATCATTAATTTTATTGGGGAAGAGAACAAAGAAAGAAAGCGAGAGGAAGAAGAAAAAGAAGTTTGCGTAAAGTATTTTGCCTCTCTCAAATAAATGTGGATGTGATTGGTTCTTGTAAATTTCAAGATGGATAAAGCAAAAAATAAGATCTTTATTTTATTTTTTCAATTATTTTTCTTAATATGTGTGTTTTTTCGAAGAAAATGGCAGAAAACCCCACAACTTGAAAAATTGAATGTGACTTTGGTTGCCCTTTCACATTAGATGATGAGAGATATTTTTGTTAGATTTTTCTCTTTTTAGAAAATATTACATTATAGGAGAGTTTGTCTATGAATTGTCTTAGTTGTTACAAAATAATTTAGTGTTACATTCAGTCCAACTATATTTTTTTTACGAATTAAAATTTATTTTATTTGTGAACTTAGTAGTTCAACGATAATTGACATTTACCCCTTCTCTTGAGGTCGAAAGTTCAAAATCAAATACCTCATTTATTGTACTAAATAAAATATTTTTGAAACTATCGGATTGAATAAATCCCTAAAATATCTATCACAGCCTATTTAAAAATTTTAGCCAAAATTTTTTTGAAAAATAGAACTCAACTTAATTTCATCCATAATTTAAGTTATTTGATTAAATTAAAATTTTAAAATTAAATTTGACTAATTTGATTAAATATAAGATAAAAACGAATTTTGATAAGCCGAGGATTATTACGACAGTTTCAAACAAAAAATAAAAATAAAAAAGAGACAAAGAAAGTGAAGTTTCAACTTGGGCTCTAAGAAATTTAGGGAAATTTTGTTTCATTATTTGGAATTCGAATGTTCGACATAATAATTTTCTTAGTTGAACCTCAAGAGAGATTAATTGAAGACAATTCTTTTACATTTTGATTGACAAATAATTTGGAATATATTTCAACATACGTGAGCACCAAGTATGGGTCCAAGTAACATAAAAAAAAAAAAAAAAACACAATTGAAGCAAGTATTATGTTGTTCAACCATTGGGATTTTTTTTTAAGTAAAAAAAAATAAAAACTGTTGCATGCATCTTTCTTACTTTCATACGAGAAAATGAATTTAGGGCAGGTTAGAGTGATTTTGGTATGGTTAAGATCACTTTCACTAATGTTAAAATCATTAATGTCTTATCTCTCTAGATTCGATCCTCTTGACGAAACCAATTACAAATGCTAATCCCAAAAACTTTTCGTCTTCTTTGAACAACTAGAGATCGACTACATTTTGTTTACTATCATTCCTGAAGATCAACCTGATTCCCCTATTCCTATCACTCTAATTGTCACGTCTCTAATGGACAAATTCAAGAAAGGCTAACAATGAGGTAAAGGCAGAATTTGACAAAGACAACAAAATTGCCAGGGGTCACTTCCTGAATCGCACGACTAATTTGCTCTTTGACCTTTTTGTCAATAAAGGTATGCGAAGACTATTTGGGGGTAGTCTAGAAAGAAGGTATGGGGGCCAATGAAAAAATACGTTGTGAGAAAATGGTTGCAATTTTAGATGATTGATGGTAAGTTTGTAATGGACAAAGCTCATGAATACGAAAATTTAGTTGTTGATATGGTTAACTAAGACATGAGAATGTGTGATGTTCTACAAGCTAATTTTCTAGAGTTAATTAGTCATAGGAGACCTGAGTGGGCTAATTGAATAAAAGATTAAGTAAAATTCTTTTTCTTCGATTTTTGTTAAAGGAAAATTTAGTTGAATATGATGCTTCTAAAGTTAGGTACAAAAAGAAAGAAATTCTACAAAGCTAGGCAGATAACAAGAAAAATTTTATGCATGGCAGCTATGGTAAAATTCAGAAAAATAAGGACCCGTTTCGTAACTATTTCGTTTTTTAAAAACATGGACGTTTGGTAACAAATTCAATTTTTTGTTTTTTATTTTTCAAAAACCAT